CCTTTTCATTTGCCTTGTGTCTCAATGACCTTCCTGGCTCCATAAGTCGATGTATTTATTATATTTGATCAAATCAGCCTTTGAACATGCGCCGCGGTGCCCGCATATTATTTTACGCTGCTGCCACCAAGGGCAGGCCCTTGCAAAATTATTCGGTTCGTTGGATTCTTCACTGCATAACCCTAACCTAATCCTCACTAACCAACAGCGCCATATGTGGCATAGTAGTTGAAATTCTGCCCTCACGGGAGACGGGAGTACTATCGTAAATGATATTTCCACCTTCTTCCCCAACTACTCTGCACTTCACAAAATCGCCGCGGCCATAATCCAGATTGTCTACTTGCACTGCAACTTCCTGGGAGATACATTGAAACCATCGAAAGCCGTCAGCTGCCACACGATTGGCCCACAGCCGAGGAGGTTGGGCCAATAACGGTCACATAGCAATAAAGGAAATATCACGAGGCCCGAAGTCGGACCTAAGGGAGGCCTGCCTCAGGCCTCACGTGCTCACCGATTTCTTGTTTATATAGAGACCTTTGGTCCCTTAAGGCCTAATAAGTTATAATAGACCAAGGTCCTTTAATACCTTAAAGTCGAGTATTGAGATTAAGTTAAACCCTTTGTTCTAAGACCAGTTACCTTACCCTTGTCACATAAGCCTATCGATGCCTCGTCTTCCCTTCCACCCGAACACTACGAGTTCATCGATTTCGACCAAGATCACTGATTATCGTGGACCGCCATTAACTGGGAGTTCGATACTCTGGAATCAGTCTAAAATATGCTGGCAAAACTACTTATATTCCACTCCCCTACAAAATCTAAGGGTAATCAGACTGAATTTTCCGTTAATCGCGTCTGGAGGCTCTCCTTTTGTGGCTCTGATTCTCTCCTTCCGTAGTGTTTATATATCTGTAGGAGTCTCCTAGTTATTTGTCAATGTAGACGCGGGGGTAGAAAAAGCTCAAGTCCCTTCAGGGTCTGAGAGGTTTAGTGCATCGCGGATTAGAGTAACAATCTCACAGTTAACGAGATACCAGACGCCTATAAAGCGCCACGTTGAATGTGGAAAACACTGAAGACCCGAAATCTGTTTCTAATAATACACATGGCTGATGCCGTCGGTCCACGCATGCAATCCATGCTAGTAGTCCTTTGAACATTAATATATCGTATCTAGCACTAACAGAAGTGGAGATCCCCTCCGTTTATGCATGCTGATATCTCTCTCTATCACACCATCTTTCTTTTGCTCTTCCTGTCTTCACTTCAGAATTATTCGTGGGCTCTGCCTATATCGTCATCGCAAGTACTAACATGGCTTAGGGCGCATGACGAGGCACCCCGGGGCGACGGGGTATCTGACCGAGGTTGGCAAGGATAAATACTAGAGTGTAAAAACGGGTACCCGTGGGCACCCGTAGGTATCTAAGTTTTTCTTAGGTTATTCGTAGGTTACTTATTTTATTATATAGGTAACTTAGGTATACTATAAGTAATCTAAGAAAAAGATAAGTACCCTATAAATATTTATCCT